TAGTAAATGTGAACGATTTCATAGTTATAATATGTTTCTGAAATGTAATAATACCTGACCAAGTCTGGACACATCCTAGAAAAATGAAACCAGAATTATAAGTCAAACGAGCTACCAATTTTACTAATTGATTGACGTCAAAATTTCACGAATTAAACTGTGTCTAATTCACAACTCGCTTATTATTGCAATTGAAGTATATTGGGTGGGCATTGAACACCTCAGAGCGAAAGCTGACAAATAGAACCCAAAATAAACATGTGATTCGTTCGTTTCATCTCATTCATAAAACATCAGGCATCCTATACCTACTCGTAAGCCTGAGTCTCGGTAGATAGACTAGGATCTAGTTAGAGACAGAGAGTGTTCTGTTGTCTAAGAAAAAAGGCATTTCGACCGGTTATCCGAGACAATTTCATGTTTAAGCTCCAACTCCGCAATGTCATCTATACCACAATAAGTTACACGATTTCGATAAAACGTAGTGATTATATTATACTCTTTGAATTTCAACAACATCGTGGAGTTTTATTCAACCGTCTTCATAAAGGAGGAGAGGTTTACAATTCGTCGGAATCTTTTTTTTTTCAATGTATGTACACCGATTACTCGAAGACGTTTGAACCGATTTGGAAATTATTTTTTTGTTTCAAAGGGTACACCAAGATGCAGGATAAAATCCTAGTGTGGAAGATTATCATATCAATTAAAAAAAGACAAAAGAATAAAAAGATGAAAAGGCTCTAATGGTTTGCTATAAAATATTTATTGTGCTTCTAACGAGAATTAGGCAAGTTTGCGTTTAGAATTATGATCGAAGTAGTTACTCGTCTTAATATAGTGAACTATGCGCGTAGTCCTTTTCCAGTCGTAGAGTTGCACACCAAAACAACATGGCTGAATTTTCTCTGTTAAATATTGTTAACAAATAGGTACTTCCCAGGTGGTCCCATTTAGATTTTATAGAAATCGGTTGAGCGGTTTTTAAAAACTCAACAATAAATTATATTTATAGTGAAGTCGGTTGTACAAAATTTTTAATTTTACCACTTGTTATAGTATAAGGGTGACAACCGAGCACGCAGCCCACCTGATGACATCCAATATCCTTATTATATATTAAGAAAAAAAAAACAATGTACTATCCACTCTCACGACCTCTTCTCTTTTCTGTGGGGTTTTTAGGACAAGGAAGGTAGGTACCTCATACAAGGTTATTAAATTTTTCCTTCACTGTTATGTAATCTACGTGGTAAATCATATTTTTTTTTCATAATGAGTAATATTTTCTGCCGACTTCCAAAAAGGAGACGGTACTCAATTCCACTGTATGTTTTTTCTATGTGTGTTACCTCATAACATTTTACTGGGTGAACCCATTTCGATGATTCTTTTTTTACTTCTCGTGTGGTCCCATATGAATTTGATCAAGGTGAAACCAGTAGTTATTGAGTTATTCTTAATAACTTGTATTGAAGTCGGCTGTACAAAATTTTAAATTATAAGTCCACTGATAAAATTGCAACCAAGAATTTTATTCGATTCCGCCGGGATCCATTTTGTTTTGTTAACGCATTATTAAATTGCTGCTGCTACTGTTGATCATGTGGTATCAGGTTTAAATCCCGGGGAGGGTCGAAATCAGTTATTGGGGTTTTTTGTAAAAAAATTGTCAGTAGCAGCTCTGAGTCAGGTAGTTGGCGGAAAGCATGCGAAGCCGTTGGTCCTGCGCCTGATCTCTCTCCGGTCGTGTCGGATAACCGTCCCATCGGACTGTAAGAGTGAGTGTAGTTGTATAATCCTGCCATCGGAGACTACCCATCTGGCTAGTCTGCGTTGCATCTGACCGCCGTGACCGAAATGCAGAATTTTGGCTGCAGCACCAATAAGTCGAATCGACTGAGGAAGGATCACACTCTCATAGGACACCAGCGTAAAAATAGCAGCTTAATGCTCCTGTGTTTCGAATAGTGACTGTAGAGAACCGGAGGTCCTTTTTCACCTGTAAGGAGACATTCCATCTTAGTCCTCACGGGTGACAAAGCATCTGCATTTTTTATACTTAGTTGATCATGTATGTAGGTGTGTATGGACTATCCTATATGGTTATTTATAGATAGATAGATAGATAGATTAGAACATTCTTTATTGCACTCTAAACAATTTCGTACAAAGGAGAACAGAAGAAAACCAGCTTATTTACACATATTATTTAAACACATTATATCTATATTTTTACCCTTCTACAAAATGGCCTGTCTTTAGATGGTTGCTTAAAGTGTTACCAGGGCTCAGAATTAAGAATCCGGTCGCAGGTGGTTAAAAATTCTCATAAAACTTAATAGATTGTAACAACGCTTTATTTCCTAATTACGTAAGTTCTTATACATTTATTTCAACTTATTTTTGGCCACTAGCACAGCTTTCGAGAAGTTGGTTTCGTCACAAATTTTATTGTAAATATCTTCACAAGTAAACGTGTTTAAAATATTGTGTGAATAATTTTGCTTGTAGAGAAGACTCAACAGTTTCTTTCATTTGTCTTGGTAAAAATCCGGTTTGTATTTAAATCCGGGTGGAGTCCGGTCTTGTTCCTTAAAAGTTAGTCAAGACCGGATTTATCTGGTCAGATAGTAACCCTAGTTGCATATGCGTATGTTTCATTCTGATATGTGTTTTCAGTATGAAATCAGTATTATTCATTAGAATCTTTGTAATATATTTTTTTTAATTAAAAAAAAAAGTGTGGGAATAAAAGAGTATACTAAAAATATCCTTGGATCATAATTATACATGGACATGTTTCCACAACTGGAACAATCAATTTGTAAGCTATACAAATAGTTTGTATTACGCGCGGGATTCGAACCCGGCGGTTATCAGCGAAGCAACTCAAATGCTTAGCGTGCGAAGACAGAACATAATACTTCAGGCCAATAACAATAGGCCAACACAACAAAGGGCCAGGCCTCGGCCTAGGGCATCATTTAACTCAAATCCCCTACGGCTTCAGGAGGGAGAGTTTCTTCCCCGATTAAAGGAACCCATTCGCATTCTCATTGTGAAACTTTAAGGGAATTTAACCACTTCATTCCAATTTACATAGAAAAATAAAAAATAATGTTTTCATTTCAACGCAATGTAGCGTTTTGTTTGAATTCGACTTTAGATCCAATATACAATAGCTAGCACACAAACCCAAGACTCAGTTTTCAGGGTTCAACAGTAAGTGCGTTAACCTTACCATTTCTAGTTATTAATTATTAATATAATAATTTTCAACCAGTAACCACTTAATGGCACCTCTTTTAACAGTTTATTAATGGCCGAGAGCACTTTTGTTGGCATTTGAAATTGTATTTAATAGAATCAGGCGTTACTTTGCGGAAATCCATTTGTTTGTTGTATGGTTAATGTACTGACAAATAATAATCTGAAGTCAACTATGTACTTACTGAGAGATTTTTATTTATTTACTTATTTTTTATTTAACTTTTATTTATTATTATAATTAATTACTAAATATAGGCTACGTTATTACCCAATTGTACTAATTATGTAATATGTTCCTTGTTGGTCTACATAAATGAATTATTATTAAGTATAATAAAGATGTTAAAAACTAATTATCTACGATCCGCGTAATAAATTAGAAATAACATGAAGTTGTTTGCACCGCTGAATGGACCAAACATTTTGGGCAGCAATATGTCTTATTAATTTGACATAGAATCGTGCCTGGTCGGCTGTGCAAGCCCTGATAATTAATAGAATTCAGCGTTAGTTTTTGTTACGTGGTAGAGCCATGCTACAGCTATATTACCGGTATAGTTGTAGCACAGAATAAATATGCTGGCTCGACTTGGGAAGGACGGGGAATACCAGTGCAAAATAACGGCTTAACGCTGCTGTGCTTCGTATGGTGAGTGTAGAGAACCGGAGACACTTTTTACTGGAAACGAGGCATTCCATCTTAGTACTCACGGGTGACAACGCATCTGCATTTTGATTCGTAATCGAGAATAGATGTAGATGTATATGAGCCACACCAACCACTTACCATCAGGTGGACTGTGTGCTGTTTTGTCACTCTTATCCTATAAAAAAAAAACTTTCTGGAAATCCATTAAATTAAAGATGTTAAAAATTAATTAGCTAAGTACCGCGTAATAAAAATTTTATAATTTGTAAAAAATAAACAATAATTGAATAAAAAGACTATAGCAGGGAATAATGATATTTTTAACACTTTATCAAAATTGTCAACTGTGCCGTAAATAGGATACCTGTTTCTGTTTATTTTAACTTTTAAAACGCAAAATTATAATTATAAAAAAAGGGAAAGACATGAATTCCACATGTAGGAATAAAACTAATTTTACGGATTTTATCGATTTTAATTTTAACTCTATTAATTCCCGACGTTTCGGGCATTTTCCAGCACCCATGCTCATGTGGGGTTCGTTAACTATGAAATCGGGATGACAAACACCTCAGTACCCCTTGTGACCATTAGTGCTGGAAAGTGCCCCAAACGTCGGAAATTAAAGAGGTTAAAATTAAACGCGATAAAATCCGTAAAATTTGTTTTATTCCAAGATAAACTTATCTTTTTCTTGCCACGACATCGATAAGTTCGGGAGCAACGACCACGCAATGACACTTCTAGTGGGCCGACAAAAGCAATCGACTCGACCCGTACTATTAAAAAGTACTCTGTTCGTACTTCGTACTATTCCCGTACGCTCGCCTATGACGTAACACATGCGTCTGAATTTGCGTGCATTTGCGTACGCGCAGACCGCTCATCATACGTATACACTACACTACACCACATCATTGGGTTGGATACCTACGTTACGTGCAGTCGTGTAAAATCATTCCAGACGGGTAGTCGTTTCATTATTTTGGTCGGATAATCGATGTTTTTGTAGTTTTGTATTAATAAACTTAGTTACATAAAAATATTAGACATATTTGACGTATACAAAAATTATTAAATGGCTAGTAAATCTAACGGACTGGATGGGACGGAATGGGCCCGAGCACCTCCACCATCTGGCCCAATTGGGGGCAGAATCGCAAGGGTTTTTTACAACCCCGACGATGGAAGCATTTTGGGAAGGACGCCAAAGAGATGGGGTAAGAACGTTATGCGAGAAATCTTTTTAATTTTTTTTTTGTTTTAGGAATTTTAAAATTCGCGCAGTTTGAAAGCCCATTTAAAACCTTAGAATAACAAAAAAGTTTTCACTTTTTAAAACTAATTTTATTCGCTTAAACGTTCACTTTATTATTCATTTCACTCACAATTTTGATCTGTATTCTACTTAATTTTATTGCCAATAGTAGTGATTTTTTTAATTGCGCTATACAGATAATATTATTACTTAGAGAAATAATTTTTTAACCACCCGCATGTTTTTGCATTCCTTAAAAATACATAACGAAATAAATGTACCTATACCTAATATGTGGACAAAATATTTTCTTTATATAAAATTGCATTAGCAACTATTGCACTATAAATAAAATTGTTTCAAATGAATTTATGCTATGCACTAACTTTCGCAAGGTTAAATATCATTGACATTTTTTTTCTGGTGATATACATAATTACGAAATTACGTAAACAATACCAACGAGTACATTTGTATAAAACAAAACTTGTGTTTTTAATTAGCTATGATTATGGATTATGTATCTGCTTCTCAATATTATTCAGAAGCCTCAGGTCAACAAAGAAAAAAAAGACGAGGCGCTGCGTACATATGAAGTGAGGCAAAAACCAAGCCAAAACCATGCTCAACTTATTGTAAGAACACACTTACTTAAGTGTCTTAAACCAAACATCTTTTTTTTATACACTTATGGTTGGCAAATGATCACACATTCTATCTCATGGTAAGTGGATGCTGTGCTGGCAACTGAGATGAAATGCTTCGCTATCTGTAATAATTAAAAATTAAAAATTTTGTACCACCGACTTCAATATAAATTATTAAGAATAACTCAAAAACTATTGGTCAGACCTTAATCAAATTTATATGGGACCATATGTGAAGCACCAGCTTTGAAATAAAAAAAAAATCATAGAAATCGGTACACCCAGTAAAAAGTTATGATTAAAAAAATCTACAGTCGAACTGAGTACCGTCTCCTTTTTGAAGTCGGTAAAAAAAGGTCTCTGCTTCTTACCAAATACTACATTTAAAAGAAGATTGTATAATATATGAACAAATAAAAAAAAACTGTGCATTCGAGCAATACGACTATTTAGTTTTTTCTTATGAAAGAGAAGGAAAGCTAGCTTTCTAACTAACTTTAAGGTGTCCTGTATGCACACCTTAAAGTTAGTGACAATTGCCGCCCATGAATGTCCATAATAGCAAAGGATTTGATAGTGCGTTGCCGGCCTTTCAGAAAGGAAAGACCCGTCCTTTTTTGAAGGTCCCTTACATTATGGGCCCGGAAATACCCCAACCTAATAAAAAGCACAAGCAATGATTTCACAATGTGGTAGTGTGTGGCAGAAAATTCGTGTTTATATCATTAATTTAAAAAAAAAAACCACGCGAAATTACTAATAATCGCGTTGACCACTCCAAGTAAGCTTAAATTGCTTGATGTGTTGAAAGTGGTTGGCGACAGTAGTCTATTTGTAGATTCGAACCCATGACCTTCAGGTCCGCAGTTTGTACCCTTAACCATTAGACTAAGGCTTCAAGTTCTGTTATCCTCTTACAAAGATTAGAGGAGAGCCATACTGTGGAACTATATCACGAAGTTATTAGGCGATTACTTTATTAATTTCTTATTTGGAAGTTCTTATAAAGGGTTCAAAATTTGAAACTCCTTTTCACATTCCATTTTTTATGGAATAAGGATGACAAACGAGCACATAGTCCACCTGATGGTAAGTGGTTGCTGTGGCTCATAGACATCTACATCTATCCTCTATTAAGAATCAAAATGCAGATGCGTTGTCACCACTGAGAACTAAGATGGAATGCCTCGCTTCCAGTAAAAAGGGTCTCCGGTTCTCTACACTCACTACTATTAAGCACAGCAGCATTCATTTGCTATTTTACGCTGGTATTCTATGAGAGAGCTCCGGTGGCTGTTGGGAACTGGAGCTCCCTCTAAATGGAAACGAGGCATTCTATCTTAGTTTCAGGGGTGACAACGCATCTGCATTTTGATTCGTAATCGAGGATAGATCTAGATGTCTATGGTGACCCTGAGGACTAAGATGAAGTAAAAAGGGAAAATAGATGTAGATGTCTATTTGTTACAGCAACCACTTACCATTAGGCGGACTGTGTGCTCGTTTGTCACCCTTATCCTATAAAAAAAGGGGGCTTTAAAAAAATAAAAAGAATAAATATTTTAATAAGTCTACTTATTAATCTTTATTAGTGTATCAAAATTACACTGCTGAACCTCCCCTATAGATTTGCTTATAGGAGAGATTGTGCCATAGTTGCCACGCTATACTTACTACAGATACACTATTTAATAAAAAAAGAAATTTCAAAATCGGCTTACAATTGACGACGACGTGACATAGTTGCAAAAAAAAAACACATAGAGTCAAATTTACACCTCCCCTTTTTAATTTATTTAAAAATGAAATTCGCTTTAGCATCTATCGATATGTTACTTATTACTATTTAGGTGTTTAGTATTTACGCAATGAAGTAATACGAGCGGATCTCTTTTATTTCACTGTGGTATTATAACGCAACAATGGTAATTCGAGAGCGTAGTTATTAGAATGGTTGCGTAATAGATTTGCGTTAGGAAAAATTTTTTTTTTAATACAATAGGATGACATACGAGCACACAATCTATCTGATGATAAGTGGATTACGAATCAAAATGCAGATGCGTTGTCACCCCTGAAAACTAAGATTGAATGCCTCGTTTCCAGTTAAAAGACTCCGGTTCTCAACACTCACCACACGAAACATAGCAGCATTAAGCTGCTATTTCACGCTGGTATTCTGTGAGAACGTGGTCCTTCCCCGGTCGAGCCGATCCATTCGTGCTACAACTATACTACCATTAACTATACCACTAATATAGCTGCAGCATGGCTCTACCACGTGAAATAATACTCACTCTCTTGCCTATTGTCCCGTTTTTCAGGGTATAGAGTGCCAATATAATTACAGGCTGTGATTTATTCCACCTTAGTCCTCAGAGATGACAGCATATCTGTAGTCTTGTTTGTGTGTTTGTTTGTTTGTTTCTAGAATATAAAATTATTTCTTCTCCAATACAAAAATTATTTGACAAAATAATTAATAGAATCAGGCGTTACTTACGGAAATCCGTTATATTAAAGCTGGTAAAAGTTATTTAGGTATATCTATATATCCGCGTAATGAACACCTCCCGCCCTTCCTCAATTGCGTGCATATCGCGTCATTTATTTCATGAAGCGTAGAATATATTATGCAATGTAATTTTTACCAACTTTAATATTTGACAAAATATCTGATTATCCAGCTAATTTTCTGACTTTTGTGATAAAAACATGCAGTTGCTTTTAAAATTTAACTAATTTCATATAATATTCAATTACATTTATCCTCGATTAAGAATCAAAATGCAGATGCGTCACCCCTGAAAACTAAGATTGAATGCCTCGTTTCCAATTAAAAGACTCCGGTTCTCAACACTCACCACACGAAACACAGCAGCATTAAGCTGCTATTTTACGCTGGTATTCCGTGAGTGAGTGGTACCTACTTCCCCGGTCGAGCCGACCCATTCGTGTTTCAACCATAATATAGCAGCAGCGTCGCTCTACCAAGTATTTTGTAGTTTATTATGTTGTTTATCAAAAGTAATTAGCCTAGGCCTACTGTTCACATAGCGCTTCTTTAAAAGCGAGTTTTGTATCGCTTGCGGCAGTCAAGTGCCAGCTATTCATAATAGGAGTTATTGTCACCAGCAACCTAAACTACGAGTATGTATTACATTTAGTTAAGGCCTATTTATACATACAACTGCTGGGCACAGGCCTCTCATTTCTGGGAGGGTTTTAGGGCAAGGAATCGTCCGCACTTTATCAATTTCTCAGACGTGCAGGTTTCTTCACCATGTTTTACATCAACGCTGAGCACGTGGTAAATCTGCAGTTAAAATTGCAATCAACAATTTCATTGGTGCCAGCGGGAATCGTACCTGGGTACTGCGAAATTTACAACGAACGATTAGCCACTGAGTTACCACGGCTCGTATTACATTGTTTATAGCAAATGTGGTATTATAGTATTACATGTTAGGAATTTTTCCGAAAAATATTTGAAAATATGCAACGTTATTTTGATCTTTTCTCTAAGCTACACCTTTACATACATTCATGATCCTTTTTTGGAGATATTATGAGGGACAGCGATTTTAAAGCATTTATTTAGTTAGTCTGTACATATAAGATTTAACATTTATTTACCTGTGCGTTTGTGCACGCTTATCTCTACCAATGTTTACTGTGGTATATTGAGGTATGCTTGAGCTAACTTTTATTTGTTTTGATTAATTTAAAATGGTTAAAAAATATAATATGTCAATTTTAAGGCCTGTATTTGTGACGCGTCAAGTGGCAAGAAAAAGCACTGCTCGGCTGCTTATCAGTGTTCTCCGCACACGGCTGCACACAAATTATTGGAAATATGAAATATTCTTCTTTAAAATATAATTATGTGTAAAATTATATCGTTATTAAAATAGAAGAAGAAGATAAGAAGTCACCATTGACTGTCAGTCAGTTTTGCAAGTGATGTAGTATTGTTTCTGCCGACTTCCAAAAGGGAGACGGTACTCAATTCGACGTGTATGTTTTTTTTTTGTTTTTTTTTTATGTGTGTTACCTCATAACTTTTTACTGGTTGGACCGATTTCGATGATTCTTTTTTTATATGAAAGCTGATACTTTTCGTGTGGTCCCATATGAATTTGATCAAGGTCAGACCAATAGTTTTTGAGTTATTTGAGTTATTCTTAATAACTTATATTGAAGTCGGCTGTACAAAATTTTTAATTATCTTGGTAGTAGTTTTTTTTTTAGGATAATTGTGACAAACGAGCACACAGTCCACCTGATGGTAAGTGGTTGCTGCGGCCCATAGACA